AGCTCCATACCGGAGAAACGAAAGAAGCAGGAAATCTTGTGGCACGCCATTCCCCTCTAGGTTGGGTGATCTTCGGTGCTACAACTAGTCAGCAACTTGGAACCAGCAGAGTACATCACGTGAAGTTCGCGACACCCGTAGACATGACCGAGTTTTGGTCTACCGAGTCAATGGGAGTTTCTGTCAAGCCATGCTTTTGTGAGCCGCAAAAGCTAAGCCCTATCGAAAGAAAGGAAGCGAAAGTGATCGAGTATTCTTGTGAAAAGTTAAACGGACAGTGGCTTATATCGTATCCATGGAAAAGAGATCCATACGAATTACCAGATAATAGAGAGCAAGCGGAAAAGAAGTTGCAGGCGACAGAGCGACGACTTTTGAAGAATCAAGAACATGCAACCGCATATGATAAAGAGATGGTCGACATGAATAAACTCGGCTTCTCGAGAAAATTATCAGAAGAAGAACTTAACCAGTACAACGGCCCGGTGCATTATGTGTCACATCACGAAGTCTTACGACCTGAAAGCAAAAGTACTCCTCTACGGATTGTTTTTAATTCATCTGCAGTTTATCAAGGACATAAGCTTAATGACTATTGGATGAAAGGACCCGATCTTTTGAACGACCTTTTTGGTGTCTTACTCCGTTTTCGTGAAAGTCGAACTGCTGTTTTAGGGGACATTTCGAAAATGTACCACCGTATCTTAATACCGGAAGTTGATCAGCAAGTGCATAGATTTATCTGGAGAAATTTGGAAACTGAACGTGATCCCGACGCTTACGTGAAAACGGTTTTGACGTTTGGCGACAAGCCTGCCCCAGCGATGGCGCAGATCGCTCTAAGAAAGACCGCGCAAGAATCAGAAGAAGTGTACCCGAAAGCTGCAAAGGTTTTGAAAAACAACACGTATATGGACGATATTTGTGATTCACTGGAAACAAATCAGGAGGCTCGGCAGCTTACCCGTGACGTAGACGAGGTTTTGGCAAAAGGTGGATTTGCAGTGAAAGAGTGGATATCAAATTGCAATCTGGGTGAAGAAAACCAATCATCGGAAAAACAAGTTGTGAAGTCTGATCGAGAGAAAAGTCCGATAGAAAAGGTTCTTGGACTTGAATGGGACCATCAAAATGATAAGCTAAAGCTCCACACAAGAGAAATCCAGAATGCCGGTACGAAGCCAAAAAAGCTGACAAAGCGGTTAGTCCTTAGTCGAGCGTGTTTTTGATCCCATCGGATTAGCTTCAGCTTTTCTTATACGTGCAAAGATTGGCATGCAACATCTATGGAAGAAAGGACTTGATTGGGATGACGAACTTCCCTTTGATTTACAAGAGTTCTGGAATAATTTGTTTCACGAACTGTCATGTCTGAATAGCCTATGCTTCGAAAGATGTCTTACACCACTGAATGCAATTGAACAACCCGTGTTATGCACGTTTTCGGATGCTTCCGTGGAAGCTTTTGGTGCCTGTTCGTACATACGATGGAAATTAGCGGATGGAAGTTTTGGCGTACGTTTCATCGCAGCAAAGTCGAGGGTATCCCCATTAAAGCAACTAACGATCCCACGTTTAGAGTTACAAGGAGCAGTCCTTGCCTCTCGGTTGAGTAAATCCATTTTGGAGGAGACCCGTTTGAAATTCGAAAGAACGATTTACTTTCTCGACAGTCAGATTGTTCTTGCATGGATTCGCGGTGAAGCTAGAAGATTTAAACCATTCGTTTCAATTCGAGTGAGCGAGATTCAAAGTAATTCCGACCCAGCTACGTGGAGACACTTACCTGGAGAATACAATGTTGCCGACGAGGTGTCTCGTGGGATTCCTGTGCAAAGTCTGACAGAGAGATGGCAACGAGGTCCAGAATTTCTTCGATTACCTGAACATGAATGGCCAGCGGATTCATCAACTGTTGAGAACGGTGAAGTTGAACAGGAAATTCGAAAGAGTCAGAAAGTGTGTACAGTGAAGGAAACTATGGCTTCCCCGATCGATTGTACGAGATTTTCGAACTGGAGACGACTGGTGCGAGTAACAGCGTATGTCTTCAGATTCTACTGGAATTTGAAAGCTCGTGTGAAAAAAGGAAAAGCAGAAAACCCAGATAACCAAAGAAGTAGTTGTTTGTCCGTACAAGAGCTAGAAGAGTCAGAAACCTATTGGATAAAGCAAAACCAGAAAACCTGCAAAACAGTCTTGCGAAGGGACAATTGCAAAAGCTGGATCCGATTACCGACTCGAAAGATGTTATCAGAGTTGGAGGTAGAGTTGATAAAACCATTGCGACTTACGATACCAGACATCCAGTGTTATTGTCGAGGGATCACTGGACATCTAAACTGATTACTCGTCAAGCCCACCAATATGGACACTCTGGAGTAGCCGCCACTGTAGCAAAGATTCGACGAAAATATTGGATACTCAGAGCCCATAACCTTGCTAAATCAGTCAAGTACGAATGCGTGTTCTGCAAGAAAATGCAAGCAAAGTGTGAAACACAGAAAATGGCTGACCTTCCTGGAATTCGTCTTATACCATATACTCCACCATTTCACAATAGCGCGTGTGATTATTTTGGTCCTTATCACGTCAAGGTTGGACGAAACAAAAGTACGAAGCATTACGGTGTCATATTTACTTGTTTGAACACAAGAGCTGTTCACTTAGAACTAGCAGTTGACTATTCAGCTATGGAATTTATACAAGTCTTGCGTCGATTTTTTGCAATTCGTGGAAGACCAGCGTTGATTCTAAGTGACAATGGGACACAGTTAGTAGGGGCTGAAAGAAAATTAAGGGAGATGATCGCAGGATGGGATAAAGAGAAGTTAAGGGAGTTTGCAGCAGAAAAAGGAATTAAATGGCAATTTATTACACCTACATCACCACACCAGAATGGTTGTGCAGAGTCTATGGTTAAAAGTTGTAAACGAGCACTAAAGATGGCAGTTGGAGAACAGAAGCTAACACCGTTTGAACTTTACACCTGTTTATTAGAGATCGCAAACCTGGTAAACCAACGACCAATTGGCCGCGTTACAACTGATCCAAACGAAGGTTCGTATATTTGTCCTAATGATATTCTGCTTGGACGTGCGTCGTCGAAAGTTCCACAAGGACCGTTCAAGGAGACTCGAGATCCACGTAAACGTGTTGAGTTTGTTCGGAGAATAGTAAATGATTTTTGGAAACATTGGCAAAGAGATGTTTTTCCAGCGTTAGTTCCCCGTAAAAAGTGGAATGCAGATAGAAGAAACGTTCGTGTCGACGATGTTGTAGTGATTGAAAACCCGAATGCAGTGCGAGGAAGCTGGACAATTGGCAAAGTTATAAACGTGTTTCCTGGTAAAGACAGTAAGGTTCGAAACATCAGAGTGAAGACATGTTCTGGAGAATATGAGAGACCTGTAAGTAGAATTGCTGTTATTTATCCAGAAGAAGGTTACAAAGAGAACTAGAACTAGCTATGCTATTTAGTAGCATGAGAACTACATTCTCATCGGGGCGGAGAGTGTATTGATATTTTGTTGACGTTAGATAAAATAAGTAACATTAATCTCTAAGTTAATTAGTTAATAATAGACAGTGGATATGATTGACAGTTTGCATGTTTCACGAGTCGAAAACAACATGAGGACAAGGCGTGTGCTTAGGAAAACATACGAAGCAAATGTAGATTAAAATGTGTTAACCCGCCAAGAAGTAAGTTCATAGTTGTGTATTAGAGTATGTATAGTGTAGAATTAGAAGTAATTTGTAGTTGTAATTCAATTTATAGATCGAATAAAAACAGTGTAAACAATATACGATTTGACGGGCAATGTATTCATTTCATCGGACCAGGATGCATTGGCAGATTAACCCATTGATCAGTGGCAGTACCCCCCCCCCCCCTGATAAGTAATATTGTTTGGCATTTAATAGAGGAGTAAAATCGTCTGGTGTTAGACAGAGTAAAATAATAAAAGCAGGTTGCACCAGGGACCGGAGTATTAATTGCCACAGGGTTAACAAGATGCATAGGCAGATAGTCAGTTTAACCCACTTAGTGGCAGCACTCTCCCCTTGATGTGAGTAAAATTGTCTGGCATTAGACAGAGTAAAATCATCTGGTGTTTAGACATGACAGAGTAAAATAATAAATTAAAGCAGGTTGCATCAGGGGATCCAAGCATATTCCCACAAGGTTAACAAGATGCATGGGCAGATAGTCAGTTTAACCCATTGAGTGGCAGCACTGAGTAAAATTGTCTGCCATTAGACAGAGTAAAATCGTCTGGTGTTAGACAGAGTAAAATAATAAAGTAGGTACAGCATCAGAGCGTATTGCCATGAAAGGGTTAAAAACATACCACAGTTCTGTTATAATATAATTTCAGAATCAGATAAAGAATATGACCCAATGATGCATTTTGAGGAATGATTCATATTTGGTTGAAATGAAGTTATTATAAATAGATTTAAAGCCTGGTTCACACAAGGAATTCTGTCGGTGATTTTTCTCCTCTCGGCAAATGTAGTCGAATGAATGACATGCAAAAGACTTTCAATTGAGAATTGTTTACTTCGGAAAAGCAACTCTATACTTTCTGATCGATCTGTTCACTCATTTACATCCATCAGAAACACAAAATCGCTTACAAAGTTGCTAGTGTGAATCAGGCTTGAGCAAGGTTAACGGCAGATGTATTATGCATGCATGCATGTCGACTTCCGTTTGGGAGAAGCCCATGACGTCACAGCTGTCACAGCCTTATAACTGTTTGTGATACCCTGATCAGATCAATTGCCTGTTTTCGTCATGCCAGCCTTGTTGCAGCAAGTTGTGCTAACCTTGTTACGTACCCTTCGCCTTTTCCCACCCAATTTGAGTTTCAGTCAAACTTAGTTTTGTTAGTAACGGCACCAACCTCCAAACACAATACTATGGCGTCAATTAAAAAGTTAAATACCTTTGTCTAGATCTTCTCTTGGTTGACTTAAACTGTATGGAATTAACCATTCTTGCCCTTTTACACTGAAAAGATAACCCAACAGTCATGTGTTCAATTCAGTTGTTCTGGGATAATTGTCCCAACAAGGTATGCGACAATGTTCTTTCAATCTGGAGAAATTGTTGCCCAGGGCCATACGGAGGAGGAGGGGGCAACTGCCCCCCCCCAGAGAAGACTATATATTTTACAATTTTTAGAATGTCATTATTAGTTATTCTTTGGATATTTGGGACTTTTTTCAGCATATGGCCCCCCCCCAGGTGCAAAAATCCTGCGTATGGGCATGGCACTGTTGTTGCAAATAAATTTTGAATCATGAATGTTTGAACTTTTCTTACTTTTTCTCATCGACTTTCTTGCTGCCTTCCTTGCATGTTGCCTTGTTAATGACATCACTCTGACATATGTTGATGAAAGCCTTCATTCCATCTTTGCTTTTAATGGATGTTTTCACAACAAACCCATCCTGGGAAACACAACCAGAATTGACTTACTCACCTGATCGTATGAGCCTGGCTAGCGGGATGTCCCGCATACCTTGTCAGGACTTGTCAGCTAGGTTACCTGTGGATTTATAAATTTTACATCCATTCCTCGCTCAGCTTCAAGCTGTGCAATCTCCTCTTCATATTTCTATAGAAAATTGCATAATGCATTATTTAACAACCAACAAAAATAATTCTTACTTACAAATTAAAACAACTAGCTAGCCTGTGTGCTTATGATCAGGGGAGGCTGCCTTGTTCAGTTTGTTACAATCAAAGAGGTAGTTTTGTAGCAGAGTAAATTTGTGATCTAATACACTAAATACCAGTACAGTATATACTATTATATCAGTGATATATACAGGGAGTCTTAAGTTTATGATGCACATGGACCTATTTTCAGGGAGGAGAATTTGAATACTCCAGGGAGTATTCAATTCAGTTTGCCTTAAACAATCATATTATAATTAAATACCTTTCTGTTTTCTGGGTCTGATATTTCTTTAGCATATTCAGCAAACATCTTTCTAAATTCTTCACTTTTCATGGCTTTTTCGAATCTCTCCATCTCCTATAATTAGGACGATCACAATACTATAAAGCCTAGTTTCCATTTGGTCGTTAGTTATCGCTGGCACGACAAGTGGCGGATGTAATAGAGTGTCAACAAAACTTTATAAAACTCTGCAATCATTAAGACTGATTTGCATATAACACACAAAAAGACTATTGATATTAGACTATTTCACATCTACCGCTTGTCGTGCCAGCGACAACTAACGACCAAATGGAAACTAGGCTTAACTGAACGGCTGTATGCATGGTACATATGCATTTCATTGCACTACAATATTATATATGCTCCCGGAAATAACGTCACCTTGGCGATATAGATCGAGTCCCGTTTTCGTGTTTGAGACGTTGGTCTTCAACTAATGTCACATACATGAAAACAAGGGTCTGTAGCCAAAGTGACATGATACTTTCCGGAAGGGTGTATTCTCACTGGTGCTGCCTCCAAAAACAATTTAGAAGATGAAATAAACAAATTGACCCAAAATCAATTAAATTTACCCTTACAAAAAAAGTCTATAGGCCTGGCCTATAGGCCAACCTATAGGTTCCTAAAGGAAACCTATAGGTTTTTATAGGCAATTGGAACATTTTCTATAGGTGACCTATAGGGATGCCTATAAGCCTATAGAGCTCTATAGATGCCTAAAGGCTTCTATAGGGAATTGGAACATTTCCTATAGGCACCTATAGGCCACCTATGGACTTTTTTCGTAAGGGATATATAAAACATGTTGAAATAATTTGAACCTTTGCGGAAACTCATCTAAAATTTCACAAGGGAATGCGTTCCCATTTACATTCTTGGCAATATCTCGGTAATCTGCTACTGGGAAGTTGGGAAAGTCGAACTGGCATATAGCTGTATGTAGGCTTCTTCCAGAAAACATCGACACCTCCCCCACTATATAGAAATTGGAACTTAACCTTTCTAGTCCTCTTCGGACAGGAGGCATTTCCTTATTATGAGAAGTAGATTTTCTCTCCTCCCCCTCTGCACATCAAGCATGGAGGAGGAGTCCGGACCTCTTCTGACCACCCATTTTTCTCCAGGTAGCTCAGGCAAATCATTTTCTAACATCAAGAATTTTTGTTATGAGATTAATTGGCAACTAGCTATTCAAACACAGGTTTCAACAATCTGGGACAATGTCTCTGCCTGCTGAAAGTTGGTTAAATTGGAAATTGTCGAAAACATAACTCACAGCTTCAGATATCAGGAAACTGAAAAGACAACGATTAAATCCCGTCGGTGAGAAATTCTGACTACTTTGAGTGCAAAAATACTTGGGAAAAATTCTTTTTCACTATGGCAACGCACACAAGATCGTCGGACCTAGATTTTTAGTTAATTGCCACGTATCCTAACATCAGATGGCTGTGCAAGCATTCATAGTGTAATTCAGGTTATTTCAGTAAGCATTTGTCTGGAGTAATGAATGTTCACAAATTAATGCTAGCAGCATCTGGAGCAATGCAAACAGCTTCAGCCATACCACCTGCATCTTTGTAAATAGACCCTTGCCTTTTTTATGTTTGGCTGGAAGGCAAATCAGCAAATGTTCTCCCAAGAGAGCTTCATTATTGTGATAAGTATTACCACAATGAAAAACATATTCTTTTGCAGAAACGGAATGTGTCTCAGTGTCTGTCAGCAAAATGTAAACAAGGCAAGGAGTCTATACAATGATGGGTCTATATAGTATGCATATAAGCCATATATTCTTTATATATGCATACAATATATAATATATATAATAAATTATGAAAATATTAAAGTAAGTCATAACAAATAATGCCCAAATTACGTAATTCACCCTTTTTAATATGCCAGTACTTATTATCACTTGGCTAAAAAAAATTGAATTTCTGTGCAAACTGAAAGTTATATATAAATTATCTCTGTTTTAAACGGTCTATTTGCATGAAATACCTCCTCAGTCATATTTAACTGGCTTTCTTGTTTTGCCATGCTGCAAACTATGTCCAATTTCTTCTTCAAAACGAGATATTTTCCGTTTCCACGTTGGTAAAAGTTTTGTTTACTCTCGTTTTTTACTCACATTTTCTGCACTAACGAGGTACTTCATCTAAGCACGGAGTATAGTGGGCAACCAGCTGTTGGCTGCAAATAAAACAGATACACCAAATGGCGGAGACTTCAGTCGACCAAGAGAAAATTGTAACAAACAGAGACAAATGCTGCTACATATTTTAAATATAGTTGGATAAATTTCGGCATCGTTTTGACGGTTTTTTTCCTATAGCTGGAAACCGTGGTAACGCTTCTTTCTGAGGGGAATTTCAGATTCAATTTCGAACTAATTAATAACGCACGACTTTCGAAGTACACAGTTCTTGTAAAAAAAGGTAACCTGCCTCCCCCGTATTCCCTCCCCGCCCGCACTGTTTGGGCAACGGGGACAGCTGCCCACCCTGCCTCGGTCCACTGTCCTAATGGGGTTGGTTTCTAATCTCACTTTGCAGGCCTGCAAATAATTATTTTCCTTAGAAGGACAGATGTCCAATCAACACAAAAAGTGGACGAACATTTATCAGTTTTTCTCGGACAATGGACGGAGGGAAATGTTTCATGCTGTTTTTCATATTAGCATGATGATGTATTTCGGATGGTCATGATGATTTGCGCACCGCAGTGCATCTAAAACTGAGTATAAATCTACCATGCAGTCCTACTACATTTTCAGTAAATTATGGTTCAGGTTATACATAAATTTCTACCATGTTATAAGAAGACTATTTATATTTGTAATTAAATCTTACGGTTTAATGCAGCCAAGTAATAATGGAAGAGTGTCGTTTATATTGCTTTGGTTTCATTGATGAAATTGTGTTCAAAATCAATTTTTTGAGATTGGACATTCGACCAACCTAAATCGGTCAGATGTCTGATCATGCAAAAATTTGGCCAGACAATGTCCAATGCACTAATTTGCATGCCTGTTTCGTGTATCACTTTATGAACTGATGTCGAGTACAGTTTTCAACATCGACACCGTTTTTTTCAAGCATGCGACTACGAATTACAATTATTTTATAATTTAAAACTTCTTTACATAGCCCTTTAGTCCGTGCGCCTTGATGCAGCAGAACGTTCGTACACGAGTTATGTATGCTATATATTATTTAGTATTTACAAATAAATAAATCAAGATCAAAATGATGGTCTTCAGGAAAAGAGGAAATTCTTAACCAAATGAGAAGGAAGGGTTTTGCGGAACGCCACAGTATTGACCCAGAAAACGCAGAACATCTTGACATTCAGGACTGTGAGACACCTACAGACGACAAAAAAATGTCAGGAGATCGTATTACACACGTAAAAACGCACAAGTTGTTACACGTTTGCAAACAAGTTGTTACAAATCTGTTCACAAGCTGTCGACAAGTTGTGTTCGCACTGCTTGTTCCCAGTTGTTGTAACAAGTTTGGAACAAGCTGTTAACAACTTGTAACAAGCTTGATGGCATTATCAGACTTGTCACAAGGTTGTTCTAAGAAGTCTGATACAGTCATGATATAACAAGAACGTTACAAGGTTGATGACATAAGGTTGTAACAATATTGCTATATCATGACTGCATCGGACTTGTTGAACAACCTTGCAACAAGTCTGATAATATCAACAAGGTTGTTACAAGTTGTTAACAGCTTGTTCAAAACTTGCTGACAACTTGGGACGGCTTGTTGGTAGACTTGCTACAAGATGTGAGATTTTTGCGAACAGGAATTGTAGGACCAAGCAAACCAGTCTCACATGCAGCATGCACTATTGCTCAACAAGACATATCCCGTGGTTCCGGGTTTCATGTCATAGGAATAATAAATATGAATTATTTCTATGTTTCATGTCCAAAGAAAAGGTACTAGGTAGGTTGCAAAATTATTTTGCACTTGACATTGGTCAGTAATGGCCATGAATGTGATCAGTTGGCACTGCCACAACACATTTCAAGAAGCAATAACTGTGGGCAACAAATGTCATTTTTGACGTCACGTTGTATCATAAAGCGAGCATGCAGCAGACAGAATCAATGAGTAGAATAATGAACAGAAGGCTAGAGGTGATCACAGTATGTCATGAGATTTATCAACATGACAGTTCATTGCTCCTTACATGACATAAAAAATCCCTTACTTTCGTTGCCATGACAAATTTATTCCAGCCGTCTTTGTTAGCAGCTCTGCCAGGTCTCTTGAAATCGATCTTATTTCGTAAGACAGGATAACCTTAAGAAGAAAAATTCGTCAGGTGTTTGCATCGGTTAAGCGCACGGTGGTTCAGAAGGAAAGACAGAACTCAAGAAGGAAAGACAGTCATCAGGCTTACTAAATTTACTTTACTTTCCAGCGAGATCAGTGTGGAGTTATATCTTATACTGTACTTACCTGTGATCACGCAGGGTAGAGAAGTGATGTTTGTGCTTGGTGCGACCAGAGATGCGGCATATGTACCGCGTTCATCCACTGGAAGAACTTGTTCAACCTTGGAAAATTATTAGAAATTTGGTATATGATTCTAGGGTATGATTTCTAGGAAGCATTAGTTCTGTTCTGTTCTGTTCTGTTCTGTTCTGTTCTGTTCTGTTCTGTTCTGTTCTGTTCTGTTCTGTTCTGTTCTGTTCTGTTCCGTTCCGTTCTGTTCTGTCCTGTTCTGTAAAGCAAGGCAAGGCAAGTAAAGCAAAGCAAAGCAAAGCAGAGCAAATCATAAATAGCTATCATAATCAGTAGAGAAGGTACTTCAACCAACACCGCGGAAAAACGTCTGCGCATGCACCAAATTATGAAAATATGGCGGGGAATTTGAATATCAATTTCTAAAACAAAAACATGCTTATTAATTGGTCAAAAATTAGTAAAATAAACGAGAAAATATAGAAAATGGGTAGACTAGACATTAATTGAAAGCGTCCTGGCATTTAAAGTATGGAATGAAATATAATTCATGTAAAAAATTGTTGATTTTAACGGACACGACTTCGAAAATTTTTGCAAAATTATTCAAAACAAAAATTCAAACTCAAAAGTTAAGAAAACTCTCGAAAAGTTAAGCTTCTTAACCCACTCAAATTGTAGAATAAATCCTAAAGTTTAATTATTGTGAACACGAAAATTTTTTATATTTGGCGACACAGTTTTTTTAAAAAAAATGTATCTCAAACGAAAATTCGGAAATTCTCGTTGCTTTGTTAAGAAACAAAATGTTTCAGACGATAAATTTGTCAACAATCAGCTTTAGTTCATGTTCTTGTACAATACAATTTCTTGAACCTTCTGGCTGTATTTATTCCTAGTTTTTAGAATGACATGTTTATTTTTGCGCTCGAAATCTGGCTGTAAAGACGCACAATGAAGTCACTCCTTTTTACCGCAATTTTGAGCCTTCGGAAACGTTCGGAACAGCTTCTCATCAAGTTCGCAATACTATTACAGGTAAGGTTGACGCATGCGCAGACGTTTTTCCGCGGTGTTACTTCAACCCCAACATGTAATCTTTTATCGGACCTTTTGATCCATAGACACAGCCAGCACCCATTCTTTTACTTCTTCTCGTTTGTCTTCCTAAAGTAGGCAGAGAACAACAGTTCACATATTAAATACTAATAAAATACAAGGAAATGTTGTTTAAACGTGATTTTCCTGAAATTTGTTTATGATTGATCGAAGTGTGTCGGATAACTTACAGCCAAATATTGTCTCTCAGGCACGGGAACTTCAAATGGAATATCAGTATCCATGAAATCTGTGTTATCAAGATACTCCAAACTTCCTTCTTCGATACCCTAAAACATATTTCATTGAAAGTAATAAATTTCAGCACACAGAGCAACAAAATAATCTTGACTTGGAGGGAGAAGACTTACGTGGAGAAAAAATTAAAATTGAGAGATGTTGTTTACACACGTAAAAACGCACAAGTTGTTACAGGTCTGCAAACAAGTTGTTACAAATCTGATCACAAGCTGTCAACAAGTTGTGTTCGCACTGCTTGTTCCCAGTTGTTGGAACAAGTTTGGAACAAGCTGTTAACAACTTGTAACAAGCTTGATGGCATTATCAGACTTGTTACAAGGTTGTTCTAATAAGTCTGATACAGTCATGATATAACAAGGTTGATGACAACGTTACAAGGTTGATGACACAAGGTTGTAACAATATTGTTATGTAATGACTGTATCGGACTTGTTGGAACAACCTTGCAACAAGTCTGATAATATCAACAAGATTGTTCCAAGTTGTTTACAGTTCGTTCCAAACTTGTTGACAACTTGGGACAAGCAGTGCGAAGACAAATTGTTGACGGCTTGTTGGCAGACTTGCTACAAGATGTGAGATTTTTGCGTGTCAAATCAATAGTTCTGAAGTTGATTACTGTTGCTCTGTTACCTTATCAAGCTTACTGAAACCACTTACAGTAACTCTGCTAAACCAATACACCAATTGGTGACATAATAATCAGACAAAGAGCAGTTCGAAAAATGTCAGTACATAGTCAATATAGACTGAAATATCTTCATTGCCACAATATCCTCCTACCTCACTTATATCCAAATAACGATTCAAGAATACGAAGGCCATGTTTTCCATTCCGGCATTCTGTATCAAAAATAGAATTACACGTAATGATTTACATTTAATAAAGGCTCTTTTCCATGTGAAAAAGAGCCGTAATGCTTGTTTACACTGTAGATGTTTGTGTGATCACAGTATTAAACTTTGACAGAACGGTTTTCAAATTAAAATTCCGTCTTTGAAAGAGGTTTACATTCTCACACACCTTAAAACTCCTATTGTGCAATCAAGCGTTCGAATTTCAATCGAGTTTTACCTTTGCTGCCATTCCTGCCTCGTAGAAACCTTTGTCACATGGTATGATGTCAGTATGACGTAGCAACGATACGCTGATTTGAGCTGCGATTGAATCCTGGTGAAAAAGAACATAACAATAGAACAGAATAAAATCACAGATAAAATACAATAGAATACAATGGAACACAACACAGCGCAACGCAATGCAACGCAACGCAACGCAACGCAACACAACACAACTACTAACAACAGAAATAAAAATATATAGTAAATATTTTGGACAATAAAATATTGCCTTGCACAATAGAGTCATTGTTCTGGCACAATATTACAAATACAGCTAATTCAAAAAATATTGTACTTTGCAAACCTATAGTTAAACTCTAAACCTTAAACCTTTTAAACTGTTTAAATGATGCTCCCATTATGCTTTGCACGCTTAGAGTTTAAAAACTCTAAGCGTGCAAAGCATAATGAGATCCGGAGCATCATTTAATCAGTTTAGAAATCATATATGGGGTCCATTTCTTAGAGATATGGTAAATATCTCCTTACGAGAACAATTCATTCACAAATAGCTGCAATATTCAACTACTTGCGCTCGAAACTTGCGCTTCAATTAAGCTTTGCGCGCTTAGAGTTTAAGGTTTAAAGGTTAAGGTTTGCAAAGGACAATCTTTTTTAAATTGGCTGTATATACAGTATATGAACAATTCAATAATTCATACCAAAGAGTCCTGTTGTAAACAAGCTGCGCGGTTGGCATAATAATGACACACTAACAACATGTCTTCAAATTCTTTCAAGACTGCTGATCCTGCGTTCTTGGTCTTATTTAAACCTTCAGTCTACGAAAAAAATATTTTAGATTATCTTATAGTTTAATTTCTGAAACCAATTACATGGTAGATTTCACATTTCAGTATTACTGGGAGCTTAAGTAAGCGACGTTCTTGTCAACGCGGTCCGATTGCCGCTGGGGTACTGGATTAAAAACTGCATGTGTTTGTGTCTGCTTTTGTCATTTTTAAAAGTTGTTTTTTTTCATCCTTACACGAACGCTATGATGCAAAATACCGCCCAACGACGTTCGTGTTGAAACGTCATATGGTGGGCAATTGTTGAAATTTGTAGGAGAAATCATGGCCGAATTTTGAGGAGAGGTGTGGGGAGGTGCGCACCTGCCCTCAGAATTTTTGCACCTCCCTTTGGGAAAGTTTCAATGATAGATCAAAGTGAAAATTTGACATTTTTTGGTTGCTTAGGGTCTACACTCCGTAAGAAGCTTTTTCTGTAAAATTGAAACAGTGATAGCCATTCATTTCTGTATCAAATACCCTTTTAATGCATTGTTTTGAAAGGAACTTTGTAGTAATTGTAATGAAGGGCAAAATTGGATGAGTTGTACAGTCATAATTCATTAATACATTGATACATATGTACACTACATGCATACGTCACGTCGTAGACTTTGGCCCGTTTTAAGGGCTGCACCTCCCCTACATTTTTTGCCACCTCCCCCACTATTTCCACCAAAATCCGGCCTTGGGAGAAATTCATTTCTATTTGCGACGAAATACAAGTCTGCAACATATGAGAAAATTTATATAATTTTCTCACTCTAATAACACCCCCCCGATTAGCCAGTATATCTGCTGCACAACAGTGCTTGGTGAAACCCACCATTTTTAACCCGTGCATGGTTGCCACAGATATTACTTAGTATATAATTATGTAGCTTACCACTTCATAAAGCACGTCTCGCATGTCTGCCCAAAGTTTATAACTGTCAGGAGAACTCATTCCGTCCATGGAAACCATCTCGTATACAATACGTTTGTAAATGTTGAAATTCTAAAATTTAGGTTTTATAAGTATAAAACAGAAATCTCAGTATGAAGTGGTCTCCCACTGCAAAACTTGTCCAAATCCGCGGATATGCCCAAATTCTGACATTTACCCATATATAGTACCTTACACTGGCTTCACATGTGATTAACTAATGCTAGACAACTGGCCTTTATAGCTCAGTTGGTTAGAGCGCTGCACCGGAATCGCAGTGCCGTAGGTTCGATTCCTACCAGAGGACCAAGAGTTGCATTTTTCACAACTGCTCCTGCTTATGTCTAAAGGCCAATTTCCACTCAGGAAAATTTTCCACGGAAAGAAAACTTTGTAAAATGTGATTGGTCGACACAAATTTTCCGTCGGAAAGGGAAAAAAATTTTGAAGTTTGTAAAAGTTTGCAACTTTTAATAAGGATTCTTTCTGTGTTGGTGTTGTACAAGTACTCAGGTGAATATGATGTTTGTGATGTTACTCTGAGTGTATATCCACACCGGGCGAGCCTGAAAAATATGCCCGGCCACGGTGGGAATAGAACCTACGACCTTTGGAATACTAGTCCAGAAAATTTTCGAAAAATTTTCTGTCCGTGAAAAATTTTCTTGAATGAAAATGGGCCTTAAAAATGTACACAATTTTCACTTGAAATTTCTATCTAAAAAAGCTTCAGCACTAAACTGCATGTTTGTCCCTATAATTACACAATACATGCTGTAGGATTGTATTGGATGACATACCTGAGATATTGGAGGTGCGCCATGTTTAAGAAACAACTCCAAAGCTTTCATGGTATTATTTTCTTTAATCAAATGTGCCGCGTATTGAGCCACATATTTACTGAGTACCTCGTTACCCTACAAATATGGAACGAGAAAGGTTAATGATTTTTATTATATACACAAGGTCTGGATATGAGGTATTCTGCAATCTGATTGGTTCTCTACTAGCAGGATATTAGCTCATATCCTGCTAGTAGCGAAAAACAAAATGGCGGCTGAAACTGAATTTCCGACGTTTGCGAATGAGAAAACGGCAAGTTGTTCGCTTTTTATAGCCTTTACAGGATTAAAAACACAATGAAAAAACTCCCAAAATTGTTTACAGGTTAGCAAATGAATTTTTAAAATTTAAAATGGTTAAAAGAATATATTTTTGAAAAAATAATCGGCCGAAAGAGCGAAGATAAAAACATAAACAAAACAGGAAAATATTGAAAATTTCCGAAAAGCAAAGTCTGTGAATTCAGACCTTGTGTATATAATAAAACAGTTATTCTCATCGGCTATCAGCTCATATTCGACTCGAGTTCGTGGAATAACTGTTAAATATTCGAGAATGTTTGGACGATCTGGGACAGAGAGAAGATAGTTCTCGAAAAAGATTATTTGTCACAACGATCTACATCATTCTGTATAGTCCGTTAGTTGTGTTGACACCAGGGACGTTCAGACTTGACCACTACCGCATCTGATTGGTTAATCAGGTATATGTTAATGTATTTTACGCTTTCCGAAAGTCTCGCGACATCCCTCGTGCATGGATCACGCAATCCTGCACGGAAAACCATTCGGTATTCCTTTAATACCTGTTGTTCTGCTGTCTGAATACATTTTGCCCACTCGCCACGCTGAATCATCATATCAAGACCAGCGATAACATCCACGTCCACAAGCTACACAAATACATACAGTTACATACTTAATTAAGTCAGAATTTCAAATACGAACCATCATTCGCTTTTTGACTAATATTGGTTAAAAATATGTTGAAATCAAGACACCTGTAGTGCCAAGAAATATCTTGAAACCCGGCTTTACTGAGATGTAGAAAAAGTAATTACCTGATCTGCTTTGCCTTTTTGCTTCAAGAATGCAACATATCTTTCTTCTACATAGCCCTCCAAACTAACAAGAATGCGAATGTTAGTAATGAAGTAGAGTTCATTGCAAGCTGCCACCAATTAGTCAACCAATCCATCAATTAGAATATACAATTAATTAATTAATCATACAATCAATCAATGAATTAGCTAATCAATCATTAAAATAATCATGTAACCGATGATTTAATCAATTGAGGCAATCAATTAATACCCATCAATGAGTCAGTCGATCATTTACAGATCATTGAAATAAATTAATCGATCATTCAGTAAGTTAACCAATCAATCCAACAAATTGGGAAGCACGGTTGGCAAATGCAGTTAGCCCCTTCCCGCTGAAGTAAATCTGCAAAAATTGTAGATTGAGAGCAGGCACTTACTTAGGTTGGGTAACTTCCCTGGGCTTGAAAACTCGTGTAAGTAAAGTTTGGTGAGTTCTCTCCTGTGCTTCGAGAGTTTTCACCGAGTCCTTGGTTTTCCTCTCTTATCAAAAACTGACCGTTTATAAAATATATTAATGAGCCCTGCTCTGTGTAGTTGACAATAAATAACCCATTATCTTCATTTCAAGGAGTTATAAGTTGCAATATAAACATACTTTGGCGCCATATCGGCAGCGCATTTCTTTGCCTTGGTCCACAGTTCGCCTTCAATAAACATATCAATAGCTTCCTTAACCATTTCAATGCCCAGATACAGCTCTGCCGACTATAAACGTAATAACAAGCAATAAAACTATCTTCTGTCGTTGCTCGCCTGTCATTTGACGTAAAGGAAATTTACTGAAGAACAAAACAAAGTCTCATGATTACCTGTGAGTAATATTTAATTTCAGCCAACCGTTCACAAGCAACCATAGTTACATCTTCGGCTCTACTGGGAACAAACTTCATTGCCAGTTCTACAGCCTAAACAATTGAACAGCATGGTTTTATGATTCGAAATAACCAGAAAGGCATGAGTGGACAATTTTCATGTCCCACTAATGATTTTTGGTTTTGACTTTCATTAATTCATTTAACATAAAAATAGCCCGCGTGCAGGCTAACATAAAAATTAAGGCAATCTAGTAAGCGCAGAAGGGATAATCGATCTCGTTTTCTGACTTTGTCTGTCTTATATATAAATGCTTGTCTTTGCTGTCTGCGAGTTGACTCGCCTTATATGAATACAGCTTCTACTGGGGGATAGCAAAACTGCAAAAGCTTTTATTACTCGTTGGGTCTTGACGGCCCGATGAGCACCTTTACTTATGAAAAGATTCATATTTCAATATGGAATTGGAATTGCCTTAATGATACCATACCTTCTCCCAAGCATTAGCCATGGCATCTGTATTGTCTGAACTATTTGGAGTGACCTTGAGGTACATGTCAATTGCACGAGAATGTTCGCCTTTCATCTCCCAATCTCTGGCTTGAGCAAGAATACCGTCCGCGCCACTTCAGAAAGAAAGGCCAACATATACAGTTAGTCAAGCATTAAATGACAACAACTAACAACTAACAACTGTGCATTCTTTCACGAAGTATCAAATTCGCGCAAATACAATTAAAATGCTTGAAAGTTTTGTTACATTCCATTTCTGCATTATCATGATATCTGGGCCAACTCAGCAAGCGAGTTATTCAACTGGAAGGTCTATTGTAACTGCATTCTGTGTCTGTGACAGTGTAGATAGTGCATGCCAATAATATGAACAAGCTTGCATTGGTAGTGATGCAACTGCCTGACAAATATAAGGAGAAGTTCAAATGAATTCGAAATTCTCCTTATATTTTACAGGTAGTTGCATCTCTGCCAACGAAAGCTTGTTTATATAGGTCTATTGTAACTCATTTTCATCCTTACCTGTTGCCCTTTTTCAAAGATTCCCGTTCGTATTCGTCTTGCCATTGAGAAATCTAAAGAATATATCAATAGAGTTTTGCTAAGAGAAACACAATTATCTCGGGGATCTAAGGGCATG